GTTGAAATTTGCCCTCCTAAAATCCAGGGCCGCTGCCTTACTGCATGCCTTTGCCACCTTGCGCTGGATGGTGAATTCCAGCAGGTGATGATCACTGTCGCCCAGGTGGTCGAGCACCCACAGCCCCCTCACCAGGCTTGTTGCTTGTTCTAACTTGTTGTGATTGTATAAGTGATTTAAAATTTATACCTGTATTAAATTGTTTGTTTAAAATTATTTAAAATTTATACTGTATATGTCTTTTATCTGATGAAAATTTTTTCCCTGAAACCTAACCCCCCCCTCCCCACTTTACATTAATTCTTATGGGGAAATTGGATTTGCTTAACATTGTTTCTCTTAAAGTTGCATTTTTCAAGAACATAACTACAATGTTAAGCGAGAGGTAGCTGTGTTTCCCTCTTTTTCTTCTTTCCTATTCTGTCCTCTAAAAATTTGCCATGTGCATCTCAGGGGTATGTGCGCCCTGGTTAGAGAAACAATAGGTTAAAATCAATGGGCACTTTTACACATAGTGGTGGAGGGATGGCCCTTTAATTAGAGCAGCTCTGATACCATCTCTAATTAAAGCACTGCTGTGTCTTGTGTATCAGTGTCTCCACACTTAAAAATGGTTGTGGGGCGCTTGACCTAAAGCTTGTTTGAAATTTAATTCAAGTGCTCCTGCCACCATTTTTAAGTGCAGAGCCACTGATATGCAAGATGCAGGAGGCTAGTGGAGCGCAGCAGTTGCCGCGCTGCAGCAGACTCAATCAAGTCAGCTCCGACACACTAGAATTCCAGCATGTCGGAGCAGCTTTGGCACCTGTGCATAGGCGCCTAATGTTGATAGAAGACAATAAAAAACATTCTAATGTGTAAAGAAAAGTATAGTGTAGACAAAAGTGCATGCTAAAATGGAATTAAAAGTTAGGTTCCTCACTAGATTTTAACCTGGCCAAGTTGACATATATATAAATGTTGTGTGCTTTTTACATAAGAGCTTTATAATGGGTTAGTGAACACCTTGTGATAGTGCACCTTCAAATTCTAGTTTTGATGAAGTATACAAGAACAGTCTTGGGAGTAATGGTCTCCAGAAGGCCAATGCTCTTATGTAATATTTAATTCTTTGACATATAAAGAAAGGGCTATTACTTTTTTTATAAAAGAAAAGTATTATTTTGCCTAATGTTATTCTGAAAGCCCAGAAGGCAAAGAGTATATATGTCCATGCTTAGTTATATGAAAAAACAAAAGAGATGGATAATGGGCTGTAAAAAGACGCTCTTTCCTCTTTTAACTTGCGTTTTGTCACGGTTCATGATAACTCCTGGGATACCTGAAACTGATATTGCATTTGCTCTTTGCTTGTATATACAGCTTTCTTGGCTCTGCTCTCTGACAGTGCAGGTCAGTCCTTTCTGATGCTTTTAGCTAAAAAATTTCTTACTCTGTAAGAGCAAAAGCATTTCATTTGATTGTACACTTTTGCTTTTTTCTTTGATTTTTAAAAACAGTTTGTTCCACAATGACAAATTAGCATTGCGTTGTTTTTTTTTTTTGTTGTATCAGAACGTCACAACCACAAGCTTATGTATGATGTAGTCTGCCTCACTTTACAGTAAATGTTATGATAAAAAAAAAAAAAAATCAAATGTATCTAGAAGACAAGTGACCTAGCATGCTATAGGCTCAGTAGTCAATAAATAGTGTCAGGCACGGGTAAAATGATGTGACCCAGCTGTGTTCAGCAGAGTAGTTGCTGTTGACTTCAGTGAAGTCAGGGTTTCACTACTGACTCTGCTCTTTAAAGAGGCTTGTAGTTGGAGGATCACTGTAGTGCTTCCAGTACCTTAGGCATGATGATGTTCCGGCTATGCAGAAAACTGGACTGAAAAGACCTACAAAGGATTATATTTTTATTTTCAAGGAGATAGCAGCTGTCCTTAATGATGTTCTGTCTAGTCCTTATTTATGAGATGGGGAAAAGCTGTTCCGATTTCTTGGTGATGTAACTTTACAAGTCGATGTTAAGGAGGAATGTGAAGTGGTTCTTCTTTGCTTCCTCTTTGGAGCTTTCTGATTTTGCCATTTTATTTGGGGGAACTCCCTGTGTTGTAAATATGGGACTATGGCCTCTCATGCTGTTCTGAGGTGAGGGGGTGGGTTCTGCTTATAAGCAAACTTTCAAACTGTTGAAGTCTTTGTGATTAGAATCAACTTACAAAAATGCTTATATTTAATTTTTCTTATGCTGTTTGTACATGTGCACTTTGATTTTGTTGTCTTTCAGATTTACTGCACTAATTAAACCTGAGCAAGCTGTAACAAGTGAAAAAAAATGCCTATATTAGGTAAGCTTCCAACAACACCCATACACACATTTCTTCCTTTGGTTGCAATATATAAAATGACATGACACTCTTTTTTCTCAAGCCAGGTGTCTTACCTCTACTTTCACATAACAAAAAAACCCAACCCCTACAAATCCTCCCCTAAAAGCAACATTTATCATTTGACTTGAAATTTAAACAAACTTGTTGCTCTGGAATAGATACCTTGCATGCTCAGGAGGTTTTTCTGATAGGAAAACCACATTACTCATTCTCTATGCTCTATGCTTTTTTCTTTTATATATCTGTTCCTTAACTTGTTTATTCTCTCCTCTTACTTCCACTTTGTTTCTCTTCCACCCTTAATACATCCTCATATTTTCTCTCTCTCTTGCCCCCCAAAAGCATTCTCTTTCCCATTCTCAATCCTTTTCTCTTTTATTCCCCTCTCCGCTATCCCTAATCCCTTGGCAGGATTCAGTGTTCATCTGTGGTTGAGTAGAAGTGAGCAGAACCATGGCTGCTAGTGCCAGGTCTGGATTAGGAAGCCAAGATGCTTGTAGACTTGCCACTTTGTGGAGTCAGAGATTCTGAACACTCCATTGAGATCTGAATTTTCTAAAACTTTGCACAAATGCTTGCACTGATTCAGCTGCATTGGAATTAGCACAGTGTAATTGGGCCATTCGCATCTTTTAATATGGTGTTGTAATTCCTCTCAGATACCACCAGCTCTAATTAGCACTGTTCTGATTAGAGCAGAAGAATCAGCAGCAGTGGGTTTGCTAGTGGTGTTGGATACCGATGGAGCTAACAGATGTCTTCTCTATAGATATCTAAAAGCTTCTACTTCTGCTGACAAAGACCTATATGTCAAGAAGAGTGGGGTGATAGAGGTTGCATGGAATGGAGATTTAATTAATTGGTAGATCTGTGGGTAGCCCCTGAGATCCATCCTGTCTGTTTCAGTGCTTCAATTTTCTGTCAGATCAGAATAACCAGAGTACCAAGGTTTCCAAAAATAAGGTTAAGCATTGTCTTCTGTAAAATTTATGAAATGGGTTCCTTGCCCTTGTTTGTCTATAAAAGTTTGAGGGCTTGGTAGTCATCCCTGCAGGATGGAGTGTGATCACAGCAGGCAAAAGTCAGTTTATTTTTCTTCAGGGGAAGATTGGTGTGCAGAAGTTAATAAATGTTTTTAGGGAGTTCTATTAGGGTGCTAGGCCATGTTTGAAATCAGGCACTTGGATAATACTGCAGAAGTCTGAAACCAATGATGATGGCTTTTCTTTTGTATCTGTGGATGATAAAGTAAGGGGCAGGCATGTCCAACTTTTGATAGAAAACTCTTCAGCTTGTATAAAACTCTAGTGATTTGAGCTGTCTCTCACTGTTTTGTGTGGAGATGCCTGAATCTCTACTTGGGCATCTTTAATATTGTAACCTGTGCTGGCATGCTAGGCTGGATGATGCACTAGATTTCGTGTCCTCAGGGTGCCAGTAGCCCTGCAACACCCCCCTCAGGCAGATCTGCTGACTCGGGTGCCCCGTGGAGAGGTGTGTCCCTCACCCTCAATGCCCAGGAATTCACTCCAAACCCAATGAACACATTGCTTCTTTATTATATACAACCAATCTATATACAGAAAAGAAATAAATAAAATAATATTACAACAATAGTTAATAATAAAATCAACAATTTGGATATAATGTACAACTGCAACATTTGCTGCCGCTTGCCCAGCTGGGGCGTGGTGGGGGTGGGATGCGGGCATGGCTCACTCCGGGTGGAAGGGGGCAAGCAGCAGCAGGGCATAGCCCCTGCTCCCAGTTCCTGTGCTCTTCCGTGCTGGCTGGCAAGCGGCGGCAGAACCTGCCCCTCTGCGCTGCCTAGCAAGCGGAAGCAGCACAGAGTCCCTGCTCCCAGTGCTGATGTGGGCGTGGCAGCGCTGGAGCTATGCCTTGCTGCTGCTTGCCCAGCCGGCATGGGGGGGATTGTGATGTGGGTGCAGCAGCGCTGGGAGTGGGGGCTATGTCCTGCTGCTGCTTGCCCAGCTGGCACTGGGGGGGAGCCAATTGCAATGCGGGTGCAGCAGCACTGGGAGCAGGGGCTGTGCTGTGCTGCCACTTGCTCCCTTCCACCCGGAGCAGGCCGCGCCCATATGCCAAGCAGCAGCAGGCAGAGCCCCCACTCTGAGCGCTGCTGCGCCCACATCCTTGCAGCTTATCCAAGCCCCAGCCCCAGTCCCTCCTTCTCCCACGCGCCTTTTGTCCCCCAACCCTAACAGACTTACCATCTGGAGGCAGCTGTGTCAGCTGCCTGTTTAGTCTACGGTCTAATCTCTGAAGCAGCACCAAGTCTTTCGGATCTGATTCGGCTGAATCAAATTGGGACAGTGGTTCAGATCTCCAGATTGAATCACTGTCCTCCGAATCAGCCAAATCCAAATCCGAAGCGAATGCTTGCCGCTTTGAGCAGGCCTAATAACTATGATCTGCCCCTAGATGTTAGGCGATGCTTCTGTTGCTCCGGAGAAAATGGACTCCTTTGATCCTTCCTGACAGTACAGCCAAACAAGTCTCTGGACAGCTGCTGCAGGCAATAGGCTCTGTTTTGTTTCCTTCTGGAAATACACCTTCTGCAAACATTATGGGATTAGGTGTCCCCTCACACAGACACAGTTTGTGGCCTCTCGGCCCACTCTCTCTCGGGGCTGTCTCCCTCTCCCAGCACCTCCACTCGCAAACAGGAGATCTTCCTCTGCAGCTAGAGCTTTTCCAGCTCAGAAAGGGGCTTCCCTCTGCAGGTCTCTGACCATGCAGCTTCTCCCAGCTCCAGGTAAGCTTACCAGCTTTGCTTACCAACCCCCTCCCCACTCTTTCCCTATCACCTGTGTCCCTGGTTGCACAGCTCCAAACCCAGTAAGGAATCAGCTCCTTGTGGGATGACACAGGCTCTTCCCTCTCCTGATGTCTGCTCCCTGGGCAGGTTTTAGCTCTGTTTCCCCTGGCTGGCAGGCTGTCTCTCTTCCCTCTCTCCAGGCTGGAATTGGCTCCATTTCTTCTTCTCTCCTCTTCTTTTCCCCCCTCTCAGCTTTTTATAGCTCAATAGCAGCCAGTCAGAGCCCTGGGTTTGCATCACAGTTTAAATGTTCCAATAAAAAGCATGCACTGTGCACGGCCTACCCTCCTGTCTGGAAAACTTTTTGCTGCCCTTTTTGTGTAGAGTTCTTAAGCATGGCTCACCCACTCAGCTTGCAGCCAGGTGAGCCTTGCAGCTGTTAGAATATGGTAGTAATTTTTTAGCATTCCTTGTTACTTGGGATGGGTTTCTTCTTCCATCCAGACAAATGGCATTCTTCTTAGTTTTCAGTATCAGTTCACTGCAAGTAAATCGAGGATAATTTTTGAACTTCTGTATGTGTTAAACTATTTTTGTTTAACTCTTAAAATACACCACTTTTTTAATATGTTCTTCCCAACAAAGTCCCAGGGCCACATTCAGTAAGGGAAAAGAATAATTTAAAAGAATAAATAGAATATCAAAATAAGAGAACCATTATACAACATCTTGGCGTAGTTTGTTTGCTAAATATCTGCCCAAATACAAAATTAAAATAAAGGCTTTGATAAATGCATACAACTAAAAATAATCAATTACTTTCCACTCCTATACTGTCTCTCTACTGAGAACCCTAAAGCCCCCTCCACAAACAATCTTTCAAGCAGCTCTTTCATGTTCATATTATGTTTGTTTTACAGATTAAAGAACTTGTCCAAGGTCTCACCTGTCTGTGGCAGAGCTGGAAACAGAAGCCAAACCTTGTGACTCCCAATCTTGTACTATAACTAAAAGACCAGCTCTGCTCTTCATGCTGTAAGTAAATAAAGTTGTATAGCTGTAGTTAGTTGGTAATCTTTTCAGTCATATGTTAGGTTTGTGGCACCACCTGGAGGGTAATTGTAATATTCTCTGAAGAAGCTATGCCACAATTTGTTGAAGAATATTAATTCTTCTGATAAATGTCAGTTTGTGGATATTACCTAAATAATATGATTTTCAGAACTCTTTCAAAGTAACTGAGATCCAATGGTGAGCTTTCACTTCTGTTCTTTCATTTACATTAAACGTTTGGGAATGTGAACAAATAAATAAAAATGTAGACTTTCTACTGTTCCTCTAACCAGCAGTTAGTTGTGTTTGACAAAACTGCAAGTGCCATTCACCCTAAAAGAAAGACTTCTTTGAAAAGTCAAAAGCACACAAGTGGCCCATTACACAAGTAGTCCCATTGATTGTAAGTAAAGGGAGTAAGGTTTTGCAGGGTCATAACCAAAGATTCCAGTATAGTGAATCTAGTTGGGAATGCTAGAAGTAAGTACCCTCTATTTTCTTTATTCTTGCCTAATAATTTTTTTAATGTAGTGTGGGAGGTAGCTGAGCTAAAGGATACTGGTGAAGTGCTGTAATATTTGTTTTAAAAGTACTTGTGTAACTTCAAGTAATAATTGGAATTGTTTTTTCTTACAAAAAAGATTTTTTTCCATTGGGCGTACACGCAGATTTGCCACATACCTTGGGAAAGTCATTATATTTTGTTTCTACATGCCACAGATATGATATTGATCCTGAGATGAAAACAGCTGTTTACAAAAATTGTTAGATTATGGTTTATTATAGAAGTGATGGCGAGATGTATATAAAATCATCACCTAAGCAAGAGTTAAACACAAGTATTGTTCTGATTAGACCTCACATTCCAGTACCAGGCTTTTAAACCACTAATCAATCTTAGTGTATTTATTTCAATCTTACTTTGCATCTTGCGATATATAATCCTTTACCATGTACTTAGTAAGCATTGTAAATCTTTTGAGGATAATCATAGGAAATAAGAAAATAATTTTCTGTAGCCTACAGTACTGGGACATCCTAGGAAAACTGCTGATCTTTATGCCCCAAGGACTATCTTGAGTTCAGCCAGCAATCCCTCCATCCCCCAGAGTAACCCAGGATCAGGAAGGTACAAATGTCAAAGCCATCTAAGTTCCTTTCTTCATCTCAACTTGTGAGTGCTGGCCCAGCGTAAAATTTTACCCCTAATTTCTATTGTTTTAGGTGCTGAACAAATATATGAGAGAGAGAATCCTGGCCCCCCAAAATCAGATAGCCAAAACTAGGTGTTTGCCACCTTTTGCCAGCATGGGCCAGAGCTTGCAACGCAGCTGGCACTGTAGGCTAAGTCTCCACCCTTCTCCCTCCTGTTCCATCCCCTAAGAGTGATGGCCAGCTACCTCCTATATTTCTTGAGTTCAAGACTAAATTTTCACCTAAGCACAAACATTCAAGTCGGATTCAACTCAAAATAAAAAGATAAAATCGGGCTATATGTTTCACGGCATATCGATTTTGTGATTGCTGGCACGACTTTTCTCTTATTGTCGTCCACTAGGTGTCGCCCTTGCTCTAATCTTAGGAAGGCTGTGGAAACACGGGGGTTTACAACAAAGTGAAGAGAACAGCACACTACATCAGCGGTGAAGTAAGTGTGTCATGTTATGATTTCCTGTCATTGCATTCATGATTAGAAAGTAGGCTGCACATGTAACAGCAGAGCAAGCTACAAATCTGATATTTAGCTCTGAAATAGAAGTTTCTGGAAGGATACAAGAATTTTATTTTAGCTGGAAAGGGATGTGAAACTGAGTTACCTTATACTGGCTGCTTCTCCAGACTGGGCAAGTCACCTGGAGGGGGAATATAGAATTTTTGGTTGCCTTTCAATGGTTTTTCCAATTCCAATATTATGCTAAAGGACATCAAAATATTTTTACTTTGGATGGATAACTTTTGTGGTATTCGCTCTGAAAATGTTATCTCCCAGGTCTGAAATTTACAACAAGCAGGGTGATCACATATAGGCAGTTTTTCAGCATGGAATTGAGGCTGCTCAGTGTGATTTTGATAGGGTATGCAGATGTTTTCTGTTTTTTCCCTCTGCACCCATTTTTGTAACCTTCCTGAACATGAATCCTCTTTCCCTCCCACATGCAACCTTCATGTTCCCCATTCCATTACCTTAAGGCAGTGGTTTTCAATCTGTGGTCCACGGGCCCCTGGGTGTCCGTAGACTGTCTAAGGAGTCTGAAAAAGATGACTATGATCAGTCAAAAGTATGTGAATACCCACACTTACAATTCAAAGGAGTCCACACCTCCATTTGAAATTTTTTAGGGGTCTGCTGTATTTGTAGGTTCTGTGTGCTTTGGCTGTGACAAAAGTAACAGCCCTGCTTTCTCCTGCTTCTGGGCCTAATAATGCTGCTGTTTTGCAGAAGTATTTAATAAAAAGTTAAGTCACATAGCTACTAATCAAAATAGTACAAATCTTGGCTGACACACCAGGGATTGAACCATGGATTTACAGAGGCTAAATACATGAGCTGGTGCAGCTTGAGCTAGAGGCAAGTCTCTAGCTAAATGTATAAAAGAAATTTGTATCCTCCCTGCATTGACACAGAAGAATTAATATACCGCTCAGCACTGGGTTACACTTGTACTTCAGTCACTAGTGCCCCTTTCTCCTCAAAGCAGATGGTGTTAAAGAAATACATGAAACAGATCTGGAAAAGAGGGAAAAAAATCAGATTAAGGAGAATCATAACCTTTATAACAGTCCCAAGGCTTTATATGAAACTAAATAATTCAAACTCATTTAGCATTTTCACTTTTGTCAGTGTTTTGATGGAAAGTGAAATGACAGAGAGCAAGGAGAGGGCCATAGGTTCATAGAAGTTGGGGGCTGGAAGGGACCTTATGATCTCATCAGGTCCAGCCCCCCTGCTCTTAGGCAGGAAAGACTGCTGGGGTCAAATGACCCCAGCAAGGTGTGCATCTTTTGAAGATCTCTAGGGTAGGTGACTAAATCACCGCTGGGGGGAGTCTGTTCCAGACTCTGGACACTCAAATCATAAAGAAGTTTTTCCTTATATCTAATCTGAAGCAATCTTGTAGCAGTTTGTCCATTATTCCTAGTCTTCCCCTGGGGTACCTTGGTGAACAGATGCTCTTCCAGCCCCTGATGTTCACCACTTATATACTTACTAGCTAACTGCCTGTCAAGAGTGATGGATTTCAGGTAGTGTTTGCATGGCCCCACCCTCACCCCCCACTTACCCTTCGGGGCCTGCCATGTAAAGATTCCCTCTGCCACCACCTCCTCCAGCCTTCAGTGCGGGGGCTGCCAGCCCCCACCTCCCCTCCCTGATGGCTGATGTCAGGTCCAGGCAGCACGGGGGTGCTGGCCACTGTGATCCCCCCATACCCTGACCTCCCTGCTTTCCTCCCCTCCTTGCCTGCTGCCCGGCCCTGACAACAGCTATCGCCATGATCCTCACCTGCCGCCTCCTCCCTACTGGCTGTGGTCGGGGCCCCCTTCCTGCTCCCCTCCCTGCTTCCCAGCCCTGATAACAGCTGCCACCATGAACCCCACCCCCTTGCCTCCCCTCACTCCGCTTCCCTCCCTCCCTCCCTGTCAGCTGTTCTGGGGGGTGTTGCCACCATGATCCCCCTCCCCCACCTTTGCCCTCAGGCAGGGAGGTGTAGGGAAGCCCCACTGCTTGGGTTGCTGGGGCACATTCACCACCACCACAACCTTTCCTGGCAGCAGCTCAAACTTGGGCCTGCGCAGCCTGGTCCCATGCAGCCAGTTGCCACCTGCTCTTTCGGTGGCATGTGCATAGTTGGCCAGAAGCATTACGGACAGGCACACACAGACAGACAGACAAAGCCCTTTTATTATATTAGAATAGACTGCCACCAAGTCCCCCCTAAGTTTTCTCTTCTCCCAGCCTCTCCTCATATGGCCTGTTCTGCAGACCTCTAATCATTCCTCTGGCCCTTCTTTGGACTCTTTCAAGCTTCTCCACATCCTTTTTGAAGTGCAGCACCCAGAACTGGATGCAGTACTCCAGCTATGGCCTCACTAACGGCGAGTAGAGCGGGAGGATGACATTCTTAGTTTTGCTTGAGATGCATCAGTTGATGCTTGCCAGTGTATTGTTTCTGCCGGCTATGGCATCATACTGGTAGCTCACATTCATTCTGTTGTCAGTTGTGACCCCTAGGTCTCTTTCAGTTGTGGTACTAACTAGTGTAGCACTGCTGAGCCTGTAAGTATGTGGTGGATTATTTCTCCCCAGATAGAGCACTTTACAACTTTCAGTGTTAAACATCATCAAGTTTTGATCCACCTACCTTACAACCCTGTTCAGATCAGCTTGTATCCTCAGCCTGTTCTCCAGCATGACTTCACTCACCCATAACTTGGTGTTATCCACAAACTTTGCCAGTATGCTTTTAACACCCATATCGAAATCCTTGATGAGTATGTTGAAAAGCACTGGTCTGAATACCAAACCCTGGGGGACACCACTGGTCACTTTTTGCCATATTGACTCAGTTCCATCTATTAACACTTTCTGGGTCTGACCTCACAGCCAGTTTCCTAGCCAATGGACCATTAAGTTATTAAGGCTGCAGTGTCCCAATTTTACCATTTGGACTTCATGGGAGACCAAATCAGAGGCCTTCTTAAAATCCAAGAACATGACATCAGCCTCATTTCCCTTATCCCAGTGGCGAGTTACCTGATTGTAGAAGGAGATGAGGTTGGTCAAGCATGACCTGCCTGCAACAAAGCCATGTTGGCTGTCATTTAGAAAACTGCCTTCTGTTAGCCTATCACTGATGGATTCTTTGATAATTTTTCCCAGAGATCGAGGTCAGGTTGATTGGCCTATAATTCCCTGGGTGCTCTTCCTTCCTTTCTTGAAGATAGGCACCACAGTGGCCCTCTTCCAGTCTTCTGGGACTTTTCCCAAGTGCCATGAGTTCTCAAATACGTTTGCCATGGGTCATGTGATGACATCAACCAGTTCATTCAGCACTGTCAGATATAATTCATTTGGTCCTGCTGACTTGTAGCTATCCAGCTTCTCTAGATATTCACTGTCAAGATCTTCACTGATTAAAGGTGAGTGATCACCCCCTCCTTGTCCCTGTGCATCCTGTCAGGCAAGCTAACACCCTTAGTCTGGTAGAATATCAACACAAAATATTCATCTAGGAGCTTGGTTTTCTCCTGAGTGTCAGCTATCAGCTGTCCCATTGTGTTCAGCAGGGGTCCAACATTTCCTTTATTTTTTTCTCCTGCTTCCTTCATATCTAAAGGAAGGACTTTTTATTGTCCTTAATTTCTGTTGCCAGTTGGAATTCTTTTTCTGCTTTTGCTTTTCTAATCCACTTCCTACAGGTGCAGGCCATTCCTGTGTACTCTTTGGAGGCAATTCCCAGCTTCCATCTCTTATAAGCTTCTCTTTTCATTTTCAGGAGGTCCATGGCCTCCCCCTTGGCTCAATAAGGTCTCCCAGCCCTTTTGCTACCTTTCTTATGGACAGGAATGGACTTCCTTTGTGCTGTAAGGATCTTATGCTTGAGGAACGACCACTCTTCTTGGATTCCTTTCCGCATCAGACCATGGTTCCGCAGGGCTTCACTCACCAATCTCCTAAGTTTGTAGAAGTTAGCTTTCCTAAATCAAGGATTTTTACCCTACTAATTGATTTTCCTGCCTTGTGGTGGCTGGTGAAAATGATAGTTTCATGATCACTGTTGCCTAGATGACCCCTGATCCTCAGGTTATTCACTAGATTATCACCTTTGGTCAAAACCAAATCCAGGAGCGTCATTCCCCTGGTCTTCACATACACTTCTTGAGTGGGATAGAGCTCTTCAGTGTAAGTGAGGAAGTTACATGAGTGATTGGATCTAGCTGAGTGCTTTTCCCACGAGGTGTCTGGGTAATTGAAGTCACCCATGACAACTATGTTCCGTGAGCATGCAGCCTCTGCCAGTTGTCTGGAGAATTCCAGCTCAAGCTCCTCCATTTGATTCAGAGGTCTGTAATATACTCCTACAGTCAAATCTCCTTCACCACATCCTCCCCCTGTCTTAACCCAGAGGGTCTCAAGTCAACGTTCTTTTTTGCCAGTCTTGGTTTCCAGGGATGTGTACTGCTCCTTCACGTACAGAGCAACACCTCCGCCCTTCTTCCTTATGTGATCCTTCCTATGCAAGATGTAGCCCTCTATATCTGGGATCCAATTGTGGGTGGAGTCCCACCAGGTCTCCATTATCCCTATGAGATTGTGTTCCTTACTGGTTAGCAGGAGAACCAGTTCTTTCTGCTTGTTCCCCATGCTCCTTGCATTTGTGTTCAGGCATCTGAGTCTACCATTGGAGGCCCATGACTTCCTGTTTTGCTGAGGCAAATCCAGTCCTTCAGCTTGTGTCAGTGTGTTTCCAATCTTACTGATTTCCTGGTTGCCATTTCCTGGGCTTGCTCTAGTAATTATCCCCCCCATCCTCGAGCGATATTAGTTTAAAGCCCTATCCAGGAGGTCCACCATTCTAGTCGAAAAGAGTGCCTTCCCCTTCGGCTTGAGGTAGATCCCTTCCCAACAAGCCACTGTCTCCATCAATC